CTCATTTTTTCGAGAAATAACAAATTTACAAGAAAGAAACGGTGTCGTCCCACGGGACAGACACGAAAAAATTGGCTCGTCGTCAACGTGTTAACCCTTACCTGCCGTTACTACACTACGTCGCACCCAGTAGTGAACATTTCAAGTGCATGGTTTGCTAAGGAATTTCCAATATTATTTGTTTGGGTTTTTGCTCCTTATACCTAAATTGGATCATAGCTCAGTGTGTGTATTTCGTCCATTCTTGATATAGAGATTACTTTACTCCAAAGAACCCTCTATTACAAATTGGTACCATCATGAAGTTGAAGGGAGGGGGGTTCATTGGTGCATTTCACTCGTTCTATATTAGGGCATTGAATACAAGAAATACGGTTTGGTCCATCCCCATTTCAGCTACAGTTGATCATTATAGGATCGAGAAATGAGGCAGTTCACCTCTCAGCCCGATAAGATACGAGTTACAGCCTTACAAACATCTTATCCAATGAAAGAAAGTCTTTTATCTACTACCGAGTAGATGGCGAAATTGTATGAAATGTAAACTCTGCGTTCATTTGAGTTTTTACAATCAGTTTGTAACTAAGTTCGGAACACTAAAATACTTCACAATAATTTCACTCAATATCATTACTACCTACTACCAGTAGAGTGTCTAATCAACTATGTCGAACAGTTTTTTGTAGATAAACGTCGAAAAAGTATTTGTGTTTAGTTAGGGCGTGCTGCTTGCATCCCAAAATGGTGTTAATATATATAGTAGTTTTTTGGTATCTTGTAATCCCCAAATAGCACTAACTTCAACAAACTCCATAATCGCGAAAAGATTCTACTCCTTAACATTTTCGATCTTTATTAAAATTCTTTTTTTCATTTTACGATATTGCAGGAGACACTAATGTCAAAATCCCCATCCTCGAAGGTTCGCAGTATTTCATTCTCTCCATGGAAAGGAGCCAAGCGACGAGAAAGGAAGTATGAAGTATGTGTTTTTCCTGAAACTTTCTTTTGTTCATCACATCAATGTCGGCCAAACATTAGTCATTGTCCTGTGCATCCTCTTTGAGTCACCATTCTACCTTGTCACAGCTCGTTTTTCAGTAGAACAAAATTAGGCTTCCTGAAAAGTTGCTTTCTTTTTGCGGATGGTCCCCTAACCTGAAATAGCTGGAACGGAAAAATTAATAAAATAGCAAGCGGGCAGCAAGGTGGAGTGTTCTTCCCGTAACGGTGCTACACATGCAAAATTTTTTATTTAAACTTGGAAGTTTAAGAATAAATTTTGTGGAATGTCATTGAAGAGTTTCTTCTTATTCAAGACATTATACCATTTTTCGCATTTTCGAGGAACAGAGGTTGAAATACAATTTAAAACATGTCTGTGGACTAGTTGGCTCAACATGTGCCCGACGCCTAATAAAATTAAACTCACTAAGCGTCACAGCCTGTTATTCGTGAAATAATATGTTCAAACCTTCATCTCATCTACGAATAATCGAGTACCAAATTCCTTCTTTTTACACAAACTCCGCCTTATTTCTACTCTCCCCGCGTCTGTTCTATTATACATTTTCATTTTCTCAGAGCCTAGTTCTTAAAGGCTTAATGTGAATTTCTTTCCCTTGTTCACTAATCTGTATGCTCAGATTTTGCGTTTAAATAAGTGGTCAGTCGTTTAATGGCGCTATTGCATTTTTTGGTTGATATGCCCGTATCTCCTTACCAGGCTTTAGAATTTTCTCGAATAGGGATGTGAATTTTCGATTTCCAATCCCGCCTAACATGAACAATCGACCTCTCTTAATTTGCTTGTCTTATTCCTTTTTCTGTACCTATGGCATGAGTATGAACAGCCGATGCTCCTCCTGCGCGTTTTGATTAGGACACCGCAAATGGTTGCTGTTGATGCGTGCCGCTATTAGCTAAAAGAGGCTCTGAAAGTGGCGAAAGTATTCATTTAAATTGGTCAATCCACTCCGCTCTACTTCTCAATGCTAAAGTAGAGCTCCGGGAAAGACGATGTGCCAGCTTTGCGGGGCTGACGTGATCTGAAGAATTGACTCTGAGTCAGGAAGGTGCCATTTTTGCGCAGCGTGTGTTAACCCACATACATTGAAACATATAGAGAATACGTAAAGAGTTTCTAGAAATTTCCAAACCTATGATCACCGTTTCTTTCTTGATTCTGTCAACTTTTCCAGACTTTTGAAGTTCCTTAGATGATTAGTGGATTTTCGCCGTAGGTGCTTTGCATTTAGCACTCAAAAGCCTCCTTAATCATCTCTAGAGATACTCTATTCGGTTTACTCCGTGTAGACAGCGTGGATGTGTCTTTTTCACTTCATTTGATATCTCGCTCACTGTCTTTATCCATTTTTCACCTTGTACATCCATTTCATTCTAAAATTTTTCCCTTTAGCACTGCCTATTTTGATATAAATCTTAACTCCTATGGGAAGCTCTACGTAACTCACACATTTTGCTCTATATTTTGTATGGATGTGAAAAAATCCCGCCTTCACATTCTGAACTTTTTTCGGCCTCTTCAAATGCTTCGTCTAGATATATTCATGTGCATACATACGTCTCTGTTGGGGGGATTGGCCTTATTCTTGTTTTTCATTTCCCAGTCAAAGATTCAGTTACTCTGAATGTTTCTTCATCAAGGCTAATTCAGGTAACGAACATCAAACGTGAGGTAAAGCTTGAGGACATAATCGTTGAAGATGGAGCGTTCTCTTGGTCCACGTTTGCTAACATTGTGAAACCTCAGCTCGCTGCAATGGAACCAAAAGCAAGGTCAACTTTTAATCTTGATATGCTGAAATATTTAGTGCTATTAATTGAGTTTTTTAAGATGTGCGGCTGCGAAACAATTTTCTGCATTGCTTCAAGCGGATCCATCAGCTGCTAAGTAAGCTCCGATTGAGTTGGCCAAAATAAGCAAATATGTGAGAAATTTAATTATTTGCTCCGTGTTGTAAAATTCTCTTTCATCTCCTAAAATATTACGTGGTTGCTTGTCGTTAATCAAATAGTATTTTAACCATTTCTCTCTGTAGTCTGCTTTCTTTAGCGCTGCAGCTTCTCATCCTCTAAGCAATTGATCATCCTACTCTGTGTTATCCATTGAGTATAATGTATCTGACCTAATGCATGCGTGTGTTTACCAATCGCTGTTGCTAGATTCTCTATCAGAGTCACACTTAGGGTAGAGCGCTCGTGCCAACAAATGATGATCAGGTTGAGTTAAATTGAGGCTTTGGGTAATGAATAGTGTCGTTAGGTGGAATTGGATGGTAATGTACCACAGTTACTGGGCCTTCCTCGTAACTCTCCTCGCATGGCAAACCGTAAGTACTGGCTTTTAAAAGCAGTATATACTAGCATGTTTTTTATGTGGCGCTTTGAAACAAATGCTCCACTGCTTAGGGATGTACTACGACGGGAAACAAAAAAATACATCTCGCAGTGGTACTGTTCTTGCATCCGACTCAGGGGTACGATGGAGGGCTGCGCTAAGAAATGGCTCAGAACGGTTCGCACTTGTTGGTATTGCATCGTGTTCGGTAATGTCACCTGTTTCCTACCTTCAACATCAGTTCCAGCGTTGAAATTATATGTTCATAATGATCACGATGACTCGCAGATCTCCATTCTACCGCCGATCCGTACAAATGGAGACGGAATCGGTAGCGCGAGGCATGAAACATCACATGGTTCTTGATATGACGTCTTCGCGAAAAGTCACATATGGCCTAGCCCAGTATATAAGTAACTTTCAAGTACTTCAGGTACTCGAATACTTTGTTGTTTTGCTTTCAAAAGTGAGAGTTGGGTTTTGATGGGTGGAAATAGTGATATCAAGTTATAAGGCCCACATGCTCAGCATTTGCTTGATGCCAAGCAACCTGCAGCCAAATTCTGCCTCCAACACAGGCCGCCATTCATTTCAGGTCGTTTATGTGATTTATTTACTGTAGCGTTCAAAAGTTCTCGGCCAAATGCTTTTTCAGCCGTATTTTTCAGTCGTAACTCCTTTCCTATTTGATCTAATCACGCAAATTTCAATATATGTGGCATGGGTGTATTGTGAATATATACCACTACTAACCTATAATCTGATCATGTTCCAAATATCCTAAAGAGCTCGAACTCAAAATCAACTAGAGATACAGATGATGGTCCTTTTAGGACTTCTTTCCCTTTTTTCTCTCTAAAGTGTATGAGCGCTAATGCCGAACACAGTGGAGGAGAAAAACGCACATAAGGGGCGAATAACTGCAGACGTCGCTAACTTAGCTTTCGGCAATGCCTGCTACCGCAACAAACACCTTGCTCTTAGTTACTTGGATGTTGCTGCTTAGCAGTCAAATAGTATTGGAATAGTGGGAAATATGCTTTAGTTAAACATACCAAATTTTGCGCGATTTGCTCCGCCAAGGGAAATGTTATGAACGAAAAAGCGTAAAGGCATTCGGCCGAAGACATTTGAGCGTTACTATATATCTAGCAGTCGCACAAACATATAGTTGAACGGCCGCAGCCTTGCTTTGATTCTATTATGTTCCTAGTGTTCGACATACTCGTCCACCGAATTGGTAGTTTGCAAACACATGAGCATTCATCCTGAAAAGCATGAGGCATGATGGGTAGGCAGTGTGTACATTTCCCCGAAAATCACGTCGCGCTAGCCGCGCTATGAAGGGAAAGGTTTGGATACAGTGGGCGTGACCACTGTCACTCACCGTGGGCGTCCGGGGAGAAGTGCCGCCACCCAAGTAGGTATAATGCGCAGATAGTCACATTAACGAGTTTGCATTCATACTATTATTGACATTTGTCTCCGAGCATAGCTTTTCTTCACATTACGTACGGTCTGGTAAATTTAGCTCATTTGTAGAGCTCTTTGTTACATTTTTCAAGTCAAATACAGACAAATATGGTGCGTATAAAACAAGCTAGCAGGAGTGGCAGTTAAATGATGAGTTAAAAGCAAATAGGCGAGGGTATCATAAAGAGGAAGGGCTGTCGAGGAAGGTTGAAAGGTGGGAAATGAGCAAAAAGATGGCCCAGCGCTCCACTCTTTAGTTCATATTTATTTTTGTTCATTTATTCGATCGTTAATTATTGTTTTTGTTAGCCTTTGGTGTAATGGCAGTGTTTACGATTAAAGTGCATGGAAGCTGGAATGAAGGTAGGGTCCGTAATGACTGGTAAGACGATATGTTGTAGTTTTGTTGGGCTGCAATGGGTTGTTTGGGTAACAAACATTGGTCCATATTGGACTAAACCGCCAAGTAAGGCAATTGATGTGAAAGTGGGGAGTTGTGGTTAATAACCACGAAATACGATAGTGAAGGAGCTTCAGCGGCAGGCGTCAAAAGGAAAGCTCATCTTCTCTCCCATCCCTAACAGTCACTGTAAAAACGAGGATTACGATTCGCCGGTTACTGTCAAATGGTGCAGCTTAATGGTGCAGCTTTTCCGACCACCTGGGGATTGACATCCTCCGCATCCAAATTTCATATTTACTTCATAATCGTATACACTGGCTTCGCTGCCGAAATTGTACTTACATTGTTGGTCTAACATTAAAATAATGCTATATTTGTGTATGTGTTTGAAGGATTATTGGTTAATAAATATCAACTTCCTTTTCTTTGTATCCTTGACTTTTTGGGTTATTAACGCGCACATGCAGCGGTGGTTATGAATAAACTGCTCCTTGCCTTTCTCAACACGGCAAACAAAGCTATAGAACTGGTATCAAGCATTGTGATGTTACACGAATATTTCTGGGTTTTATTCAAGTAAAGAAACGAGTGAGAATAAGATTGCTTCGATATGGGATCTTTTGCTGGCCTCACCTATTGTTACTGCTTACAATATCCAATTGATCCTATTAGCATACTTCAGTACGTCGCGTTGGGGGTGGAAGAACCAAGCCATGCAAAACGTGGTACTGCTGATAGCCGCAATGCTGAAATCACTTGCAGAAAGGTAAATTAATTGCTCAGACTTTTATCGCTATCCTTGAAGTGAAGAGTCTGAGCGTTAGAAGGCTGTGCAAGGACATGCGTCTTTGGCAACACGGGTAAGAGCCACGCTTTGTCGGAAGGCATAAATGAATGGACGGTCAATTGGAACAGACAAGGTTAGCGACTTCAGTGAACTTCATTCAGCCTTTCTTAATTTCTCTGCTCTAGCTACCTTTATCCAAAATAATGAAAATGATGCTGATTCGCTGTCGGTAAATTTGAAGTGGTTTCCGTGGTTCCCAAATTCCGTGGGTTCCATGGTTTCCAAATATTTGAATTGGAATTTGTGTCGAATCTTTTGTTAATATTCGTACCAGCCTGACTACCTGATAGAATACCACGGATTCACTACGGACGCAGTAATCCCGCTGTTAAACACGGCTGTGGCTGGGGCATACTGGCCATCTAACCGACAAAGATTTATGCATAAGAACACAAGAAGATTCTTGTGTTGAATTTGAACCAGGAAACAGTATAACGATATCGTGAAAAATGTATGTTGAGGGAATGGGTTCCTCCCTCTGTCTCTGTAGTTCAGCACTAGTTCATAGATAGTGAGAACTTCTCCTAATGTCGGGCTTTTCTGAAGACCAAACGAATAGTTCTGCCCGATGTACCGCCCATTCCGGTGTGTCCCGCCCCTTATAAACAGGGTTCCGCTGTGCTCGGGTGTGGTGCGATTCACGCGTCAATATATTGAGGCCATCGGACGAGACGCGCTATAACATGGGAAAAATAAGAACTTATAAGTAACATGAGTAAAAAATTACCAACTATGTACGTTTACAGAAGGATCGCTTTTCTAGGATCAAAAAATTTGAGGTTATTCTTACTTTGAACGTTTGATAAGTAAATTGTTGACCTATAAAGTGAATTATTAATCTCACACGGGCTTAAATGCCATAAAAAAGAAATATGCTCTAATTCATGGTGAAGCAGTGGACTGCTACAAATCTTATTTGGCCCGTCTCAACAGAAGGGTACTGAAGTGATGTTGCGTGCGCGAAAAGCTCTAATGGGGTCACACGTGTATAGCGCGCCCCCCACTGTGCTTTGCTAGTCTTGCCCTAAGCCCCAATCATCGCGAACATGATTCAGGTAATACCGAAGTTTGCAGCAAAGGGACAGACTAACGGGCAGACAGACATACAGATAGACAGACAGACAGACAGACAGACAGACAGACAGACGCACTAAACCTGTAGCTAATTATTGTAGGGATTTCGTGGCAAACAGACAGACAGACAGGCAGACAGATAGACAGACAGACAGACAGACAGACAGACAAACAAACAAACAAACTGACACACCAAATTTGTGACCAATGTATAGTAGGCGTGTGCACTATAACTTCTTTTATTTCACTAAAACCAAATATTTCAGAATTATCGTGAAAAGTGAATTTAGATATGTGGAATGAGATTAGTCACAGATACCGTACCATCAATTCCACGACAGGAAGGGGATGAGTCCTATCCGAACCCTCTCCAAAGATGTGCGGAAAGAGTCGTTTCACGTACTTGATGAGTAGATTGATATGGCTGTGAAGGTCACTAAAAGAAACGAACTTTGCCCATAGGTGGCTTCCGAGGAGGCGGTTAAAGAAGTCCAGATTCGTGAATTCGGGTATGTTTAGATTAGTTGTTACCGTAAGTCTATTGCCTAAAGGCGGTGAGCTGGCACGGAGCGTGCAGTTGATTGGTTGATTCTGATTGAATGGCGTCTGCGTCTCCTCTGTGTGGTGATGATGCCTGCATAGGAGAAGTTCGACTAGTTCTCCTGCTCGCTCTGCTGTGGCAACACTGCGAACACCTTAAAAATGAGACTGTGAGCGAAGTCATGCGAAGAGGGTATTAACTTCAGAAAGTTGGATGTCAGGAGCGACAGCCCCGAGTAATCCTTGATTCGACAGATGTGGCCTCGATTCCGAATCGGTATCAAAAGGTCCGTATATATACGAACTCTGCCTTAGGGGAGACGTTGGGAGGACCCTCTGAGGGATTCGCTCCCATTTAATCCCTCAACGGTAAGGTTCTCGGGTTGCAGGTCCAGCCCAGCTTTGAAANAAACACCAGCTTATCGTTTGCATGCACACATATATCCCAGCATGTACTCTTTGAAGAAATGTAGACGTTAACAGTTTAGGATGAGAAAACTACAGATTTAACAACTGGTGTTATAGCTACCATTCTTCTTTGCACATGTGTTCCAATAGCCTACAATACCCTTCCCTAAAAGAACCCTAGACTCCCAGAGTGTTTGCTTTTGGCAGCTGGTTTTCAATACTTTCTCAATGTTCAGATTTTTGTCTTTCTATCCACAGCATGCAATTTCGAGAGTAAGTGGCAAACTGAAGATCACCAACCTTTTTTTAGTACGTGGTAAACGTGACAAATTTCCTCTTCAATGGAATCCTACAATTTTTAGCGTTGTTGTGTTAGGTAATTGTCTATTCTGAATGACCAAAACCGAACATTAGTCTACAACTTTCTTCGAAAAGTCCATTTAGGTATGTCGCTCACACAACATCTCTGCCTCTGTTATGTTTCCTTCTCAGCAGAGTATAAACTTTAGACGAATAAGTCTCCAGGAATCCCAACAACATCATCACCTACGTTACACTGTGCTGATGATTTGCTGGAGCTGTGTGGGCAAATCTCTGAACGAAATCGAACAACATTAAACAATCAAGAAGCGGAAACAGGCCTTGTGATCGCCTATGTACCACATCGAAAGGTCCCCTCCGCTCTCGTTGGCCTTTCAGCTGTTTCCTTGATATCTAGTGGTGCAGAAAATATTCTCAGTAACATCACTGACAAGCTTCTTCGTTGAGAGTAATTACTAGGGGTCAAGGGCTCAAATGATCATTGATGCGTTTATCGTGTCCTCTTCAGAGATTTTTCTGATGACCTCTCAACGTGTTCTCGGTAAAGGTTACCATCCCTTTCATGTGATGGCATGATGAAATAAGATGGTCCCGTCAAGAAGCGATACAGTTACTGACAAGATTTGCTATTACGAAACGCTCGTCCATTTATATAGCTCAGCAGGAGCATTTCTCAGATGTCCTGCACTCTGATTTGGGCTGTTGGGATTCATAGTTGTTGTCCAATTCCTTGAATCATACGGCGTATTTCAATTCTCCAAGAGTTCATGAAAAGTTCCCTCAATTTGGTCCACTGTCAAGTTTCGTTTCAGGAAAGCAGGTGGAGGATAACCGTTGTTTATCGGACTATCATTCTTAGAACCAGCTCACTCTCCATTTGCGTCGTCTTGGCAGAATGAGAATCTCTGTCAAAACATTGTCTGGCGAGACGAACACTTTTGAAGTCGAACCTTCGCTTAGCATCAAAAATGTGAAGATTTTGCTAAATGTGCACAACAAGCTTGTCAAAGGTACATGGTGTCCCCCAAACGAACATCGGCTGATATTCGCAGGTGAATTTCCTCGTCATTAAAGTTAGACTATGCCTGTAACTACTGCAAACCACTCTCTCTTACCTTACTACTGCAAACCACTCTCTCTTACCTTACTACTGCTATGGTTGATGGAGAAGTTGATAGGTGACCTGTTGAGTGTGTATCCGCTCACGTTCAGAATTGTCATCTAGAAAATAGATCGTATGGGAATAGACATGGGAAAGTCTTCTTTCAGACCTCTCCGTTTGGCAGTTTTTCTTCCTTGATCGTATAAAACATTGTCATGCCTATACTGTACTAAGGTATTTAGGACGACAACTTGACGAGAACCATACTCTGTCTAGTTACGGAATCCAAAACGAAGGTGTACTCCACGTGGTACTTCGCTGTCATGGTGGTGGTGAGGCTGTAACTCCGGCATCGCCTCATGCATCTAACAATAAGCAAGAAGCGATCGAAAATTTGCTCACATGCTGCATTTGTTATGAACGTTACAAGTTGGCAAATCTTTTCAAGCTTTACATATTCTTTGAAGTTGAATCAAAATTTCGAATTCACCTGAATCAGGAATGACTGTGTAGATATGTTCTGTTCAACTCGGGGGGTCGATGTGAGCTTGCTGTTTAGGCAGCCAAAGATTCTTCCTTGTCAGCATTCTTTCTGTCTACAGTGCCTCGAGATGCTCTTAAAATTTCGCCTTATTTCTCCATCGGGGCGGCTTAAATGCCCAACATGTCGTGCTGAACATTTGGTTCCGTCAGGAGGAGTACAGAGCTTCCCTGTGAGTGAGGCTTCACTGTTGACCACCGAATGCTTCGTTTCACAAATTGCAAGTTAACATTATATCTTTTCAGTCAAATCGCTCTCTTATCGAATTTCTCAATAATCCCATGTTACTCACGCAGTACACAGCTTCTGAAATCGAACAACTTCAAAGTTATGGGTGAGTCGATGATCATTGTATTTGCGAACATGTAGCAGATAACGTTGGATAAAGGATAAAGGATAAAGTTTTTGGTGTCAATCACTACCATCTGAGGGATGCCCAGAAACAAAAATTCAGTCCGGCACTCGGCTCTTACAGTAATCCGGCACGTGTTAATACGCAAATTTTTACCCGTAATATATACGACGCTCGAAAAGGGGCTTTGGGCAAGGACGTGGTGTTGGGTGTTGGGGTATGCCGGGAGGTGCTGTAAGAGCAGAATGCCGGGCTGAATTTCCGTTTTAGTGAGGGATCAGCCCACGCACTCGACTTCCGTTCAGAATCGTGGTGGCGTAATGAGAGCGTATTTGACCTATACAATGACTCGCGGCGTCCTGCCGATGTACTAGTCAGTGCTTTTGCCCTTTGATGTATTCGACCCCTGACCGTGCGTGTGATATAGTACGCCTCTTGCCACTACACCACCTCCGCCCATAACATTAGGTATTTAGAGTTATCACTGAGTGTTGTTTCCCTAATCCTGCTTTCTACTTCATTCGAAAAAACGATCCCATCTCTATAGTATTTGCTCTTTTCCTTTTCCAACAATGCCCTTATTCAGGGCTATGGTCAAATGGGACTTTTAAAATCGTTTTGGTATCAGGCTGATCAGCATGAGGGAAGTGCTTCGCCGAATAGTTCCGCCGTGAATACGTTCCTAGTTCAGCGTGGAAACGTATAAGAGTGAAAATCCACTCCCTGAACATACTTTGAGCCTTTCACTTAGGCCAGGGAACATTCCCCTGATCAGTCTCATGCTCTGGTATGCTATTGCGATGTCGCTACATGCACGTAGGATCGCTCTCGCATTTGCCGGACAGTTCTATAAATGCACGATAAGATGGAAAATAGTCCACTAGCAAGCCCTCGAATTATGCCACAGATTGACTTCCCACTTTAACGAGATCACCTGAAAAGCTTTGTCAGAGAGATGGTAACAGCGAGACTAGCTTGAGCCCTTCTAGCGATCTTTGGCCTTTAATTAGCTTCCACTTATTTCTTACCGTTGCTTGCTACCATTCAAATACTTTACTTACATGTATGAAAGAACGCAAAGTCGTTACAGCGGCATGCAGATTTTCGTCAGGACTTTTACTGGGAAAACCATTACCCTCGATGTTCTACCGTCCTATTCAATTGAGATGATCAGGAACGAGATTTACAACAGAGAAGGAATCCAACCAGTTCACCAGCGACTAATTTGTAATGGTATTTCTTAGCATGCAATAAGATTTGTGGAAGAGCTCCTAAATTCGTGTGTGAGACATTTTTTAATTCAGGAAAAGAACTTCAAAATGGTTATACATTGTCGTTTTACAAAATCCAAAGATGGAGTACAATCGAACTAGTTGGTCGATGTGTTGGTGGATATTTCTAACATTATTTGTTCTCATAAAAATAAGCAATGGTTTTCTCATGTTCGAGTGGAATATTCGAAACTTTTGTGTATCTAAGGGTTTCTCTCACTACCCTCATTGTGAAGAGTAATAGTCGTCAAGTCTGTGAAGAATTGTAGTACCATATCTAATCACACATGTATTCAAGCAGCACTACTGAAGTATTTTTGTTGTTAAGTTAGGTGACGAAATAAAATGTGCCATCTGCAGAGTTGTAATAACAACTTGAAATTGAGGAACAACATTTTATCAAATTGCAATGTCCGTAGATTAACCTAACCGGGCAAAGCTTAAAATGATTAAGATGAGATTGATAGCTCTTCTGTAGTACCGTCATTGAATAGGACAAGCATTCTTACCATTAGATAAGGTATTTTCGTTCTCACGAATCGCGTTCGATAACATAAAGCTGGAGGCAGTAGATGTGTTGTAGACGAGAGGGCCTGCTGGCAGTTACTCGGGAGATGAAGCTGCTAGTTAATTCTGGTGAAAGTGAAATTGTAAGAACGTTAAGGTACAATGGAGAGGTTCCCAAACTCCTGGAATTCGCTGGCCTCAATAGTATGCTGCATAAAAAACGGCTCAATCGGCGAAACGGAACGTCTTAAAGATCCTACCATTCCAAAGGTTTCGGTGAATTCTTTTCCATAAGAGGTTCAGCGAAAACATGGGAAGGGCCCACAGGCAGTCAGATCCTCTGGCAAGTCAAGGGTTACAAGAAGACGTGGAAGAGTATTGTGTTGAGTCGCGCGGTTTTCGCGAAAGACTACGTGACAAGTGTGCGTTGACGAAGGAATTAAACGTCTCTCAAAAGTCTGGCTTTATTGTACTCTTCAACTTCCTACTTCAATGAATTTTGACGACGTCTCGTTGTTTCATCAACAAGAGGGTGATGAAGCAGGAACCCTGTTTAGGTAATTTACGACGTTCATCGGGAATCGTTTGAGATTAGAGGTGCTCGGAGAAGCAGAATATATGTTCACTGTTTGTTTATTTGGGTGCATTCATCGATTAAGTAATAAAAGTCGATAACAGCAAAGCTGCGGTCATACAAGGGAATAATGTCGAAGAAGAAAACTGTACCAGTATTTAATTAAAGTATCTTTTTGGTTGCGAAAACCAGTGTGGATATCTATGGGAAGGAAGCGCTATTCAGAAACGTCATACTACTTGCACCCACTTGAAGAGAGTTCCTGACTTGTACTCGTGAAGCTTTGGAAGTTCATAAGCACTCCCATCCTCGGGTAACGGTCATATCGCATTCGCCCTGACAAATTCAGAGTGAAAAGCGACGCAGTTTGAACGAAACCATTCCGGCTGGAAAAGGTATTGTAAAGTTAGAGGGCGTTAATCGGACGATTCTTCTGTGAGAAATAGTGTAGACAGGTGACCTTCCTATGAAAGCGAAGCACGGGTTGGTATGCATTGCATGGGATACTATTTTTGTAAGAAACCGTTTTTCGATTTAATTCGATTCGAGCACAGTGATGGATCATGTAATATTTGCAGACGGATTCATCCACATATTCGAATTTGTGTACAGGTACCTTGCCATGGTTAGAAAAAGTGCTCATGGTTCAGTATAAGTAATGTAAACTCATCAAGCCTTCATCTTTATCTGATTAATCTTCTATATTTTCTACGGTCACGTATTACTCAAGCCCTTCACAAATGGAACTGGAGAAGCTCATAATATTTACTTGCGTGTCGTACTAATGGTCGTAACGGGACTATCTAGAAACTCTGATGATAATGCAGGAGAGGCTCAACCAGGAGAGAAGTCCTGTGCTCAGCTGTGAACATTGGACTCTCGAAAGGCAATTCCTCTGCGGAGTTCTCAGGCACAAAAAGGTTGCTAAAAAAGCTTGCTGTGCTAAAGTGTTGTGGTCTTTGTGTGTACTGATAGATCATTCACAAAGGCCACATGATTTGGCACAGTATGCACCAAGATTTTGAGTGTTGCTCAAAAGAGGTGGAAAACTTGAGAGATTTAGTTTTCAATTTTCATTAAATCTTTACCCACAAGATGTAAGACAGCTAGATCGGACCACACCGACCTCTTCGGTGGTAGTCCCGTTGAAGTAGGCATATAACAGGAACGTGAAGAAGACTTCTTCGGATCTCCGAGAAGGAAATGTCGTTGGAAATTATCTTTGCTTTCTATTTCGATTCCCGTTTTTTAATTCAGATTTGGTTTTTCTTCTCATTCCGGAGTGACATGTTCAGATTGAGACTTCGCTTTTTGTAACTCGACCGATTATTTCCTTTGTTATTATTCCTTTATTTTCCTCACAAAAAGCAGTCAATGGCTGCTTTCATAGTCTGCCGGCCGGCCGGCGGACTATGAAAGCAGCCAATTATGTCCACTAAATCATTCTTTGTTTCTCCTTTGAATGTAAGGAGAATGAAGCTAAAATGAACGAGTTATCAAGCTAACAAATCCAGACGATTCCTATCTCAAACAACGATTTGTAAACTTCTTACAATTAGGCTTATTTTGATTGTTTGGTTTTTTTCAAGCTGTCTCGATACAGAACTCAACGGCCTTCATCGAATCTGAGGCTTTTCATTGATTGCCAAAATGTTCTGTAGGGTTTCGTGCGACATGAGTGCGACATTTTGAAAAAAATTACGTCAAGTGTACCGGAGGTACATACAAATGAACTACGCTGGGTTTCATTCTGTGCTAGCAACAGGTTACCTGCAAAATAATGAGATCAAACTTATACGGCATAGCGGTAACACAAACAAAGCGCGGGCAACTGTGTTGAATGAAAAGAAGGAAAGAGTAAGAACAGTTTTGCGACCGTTTGACGCAGCCTCATGAGAAGGCATCCACAGCTAATAGGCATTTGACACAAACAAAGCGCGGGCAACTGTGTTGAATGAAAAGAAGGAAAGAGTAAGAACAGTTTTGCGACCGTTTGACGGAGGCTCATGAGAAGGCATCCACAGCTAATGGGCATTTGACATCAACCACGTCTCTTTCCAACTTGTAAATTTCTTGAATGGTCCTCATACCATGGAAGGTTATTTGGTGTGCTACTGAGAGCGAAGATGCAGCACTTATACTTAAAACAAAATATCAATTGTTCTATGGAGAAATAGACTAGGCACTATTGCGACGGCGATATCCATATAGTACTTTGCAGTGGTTACTGGGATTGATAACCCAAAACAGATTTAAGTTT